AGCCAAACTGCCATTCTGTGATTCACATGTCTCATATAATCAAACATTTCTGTATTTTTGTATACATGTGTTGTTAAGGGAATGCAAGGTAATCTACTGATTATGGCTAAGACTTATTCAGGATGTATATTTAGGTACTTTAGTATATTTAATAAATTGTCATAGACTTGATCATGCTCTGTATTTTAGGTTGGTTGGTAGTTCCTTTTAGTGTACTTCACTTATAAAGCCTAATTTGATGTTTGCACCTTTATCATAAGGTTTTTTGTTTTTTGAGTTTATTTATTTTTGAGAGAGAGAGAGCACATGAGTGGGAGAGGGACAGAGAGAGGGAGTGAGAAAATCCTAAGCAGGCTCCATGCTCCATGCAGAGCCCAACATGGGGCTTGATCCCACCACTGTGAGATCACGACCTGAGCCAAAATTCAAGAGTCAGACGTTTAACCAACTGAGCCACCCAGGTGCCCCTCTTTTCGTATTTTCTGAATGACTCTCTGTGCATTATTTTGAATGGGGAAGAAAGTAAGCCTAGAAAGAAGTACAGTAATCCCCCCTTATCTTCAGGGGATACATTCCAAGACCCCCAGGGGATGCCTGAAACTGTGCATAGTACTGAACCCTGTATATACGATGTTTTTTTTCCTATAAATACATACCTATGATAAAGTTTAATTTATAAATTAGGTATAGTAAGAGATTAACAATAATAAAATAGAACAGTTGAGCCTGGGTAGCTCAGTCGGCTAAATGCCTGACTTTGGCTCGGGTCAGATCTCATAGCTCGTGAGTTCGAGCCCTGTGTCTGGCTCTGTGCTGACAGCTCAGAGCCTGGAGCCTGCTTCAGATTCTGTGTCCCTCTCTCGTTCTGCCCCCTCCCGCTCATGCTCTCTCTCAAGAATAAATAAACATTAAAAAAATTTAAAAAATACAATAAAATAGAACACTTGTAATAGTATGTTGTAATACAGTTGTGTGAATGTCGTCTCTCAAAATATCTTATTGATTGAATCCACTCTTCTTGTAATGACATGAGACGATAAAATGCCTGTGTAATGGGATGAAGTGATGTAGGCAGTGTGATGTGGCCTTAGGTTACTATTGACCTTCTGACTAAGTATCAGAAGGAGGAGCTTCTAGACTGTGGGTGGATTAGCAGGGACTACTGTACACTAAACCAATACTAGTTCTAAAAAGTGAATATTAGGGTAGTTGATACTGATTAGATGTAAGGTAGAACAAGTGTGCCTAAAAGAAATGCATCAGATTTCTTTCCTTGTCATATTTCTTTCCTTTACAATATAATTAAAATTGAATTTCTGAGACATACTGATTAGGCATAGTAGTTGAATGTACTTACACAGAATCACAGAATGTTAGCTGGAATATTTTTACTCAGGATTCCAAGATTTTATTTCAGGGAGCTAGAACAGGCTATTGCAGATGGCTGTTTACTTTTCCAGTACTAGTCTGACCACAGTAACAAATATAAAATAGTTTGGAAACTAGTTTAATTATTTGGACTTTTTTTCCCCCTTTGTGAATGAATTGAAGCTCAGCGTTGTCATATCTGCTGAGTGCTTGTAGTTAACAAATACTATTATTATTTGGAGAGAAGGCACTATATAAATACACTGTATAAATAAATAGTCTTTGTTATAATACCATGAAAACTGTCACTTGGCTTGTTTGAGTAGCATCTTTTGTATTACATGAAAATTGTTTACAATAAAAAAATGAGGGGCTCGTGGGTGGCTCAATCGGTTAAGCATCTGACTTCGGCTCAGGTCATGATCTCATGATTTGAGTCCAGCATTTGACTCTGCACTGATAGTGCAGAGCCTGCTTGGGATTCTCTCTCTCTCCCCCTCCCCCGTGTGTGTGTGTGTGTGTGTGTGTGTGTGTGTGTGTGTGTGTGTGTTCACGTGTGCACTCTCTCTCAAAATAAACTTTAAAAAAATGAGTTGAGATGTTTATATGATGATGGAGGGTACCTATGCCTGGTGAGTCTCTTTAAAATTCTCTGGAGGGGTACCTGGGTGGCTCAGTCAGTTAAGCGTCCTGCTCCTGATTTCGGCTCATGTCATGATCTCATGGTCGTGGGTTCTAGCCCTGCATTGGGCTCTGCACTGACAGCACGGAGCCTGCTTGGAATTCTCTCTCCCTCTCTCTATGCCCCTCCCCTGCTCACATACTCACTCTCTCTCTCTCTCTCTCTCTCTCTCTCTCAAAATAAATAAATAAACTTAAAAAAAAGAAGATTCTATGGAAAGAAATAGGTTAAAAGAAGAGCTTAAAGATTTATAGCTTTATTTTTCCAGCCAATGGCCCTTTTCCTTTCTTTTAGAGGTATTTTACCTCGAGTATTTAAGATTCCAGGTAATATTAGATGGAGAACAAAAAATTGGGGCCTAAATTTTAAAAGGTTAAACAGGGTAAGGATGCAATAAATGGAAAAAGTTTCTGATAGGGATTGTTCTTATTCCAGAAATCTCTAAGTAATTACAATACCATAATTATTTCTGGAAACAAATTATTAGGTCAGTTTATTTTATTTAACAAAAATGTAAGTCTTTAGAAAGTTGTGTTTGTGGATGTTTTTAGTGTGAGATAAGTTGCTTTTTTATGGGCCACACATTACAAAAATATCTTATTATGTTCAGCTTCTGTTTGTCCTTGAATAGTTGAAGGTAAACTTGACTGAGTTTAAGAGGCAAAAAAATTAAGTTGGTATTAGTTTTAATCATGCTTTTGCTTTACCCTTTTCTTCCCCATAATACTAACTTCTGCCTTTATCCAGTGCATAGTATATATATCCTATCTCTCAAACTTCTTCCTTTTTATCAGAACTCGAGATATTCTGATGTCATTTATTTTATTTTTTTAATGTTTATTTTTGAGAGAGCGAGCGCACGCGTGACCGAGAAGGCAGGGGTGGGGGAGAGAGAGAGGGAGAGACCGAATCCGAAGCAGACTCCAGGCTCTGAGCCATCAACACAGATCCTGATGCGGAGCTCAAACCCATGTGAGATCATGATCTGAGCTGAAGCTGGAATGCTTAACCAACTAAGGCACCACGTTGCCCCTATTCTGATGTCATTTAAACTGAGTAGTTGCAATGTTCATAGCAGCACTCTCAACAATAGCCAAATTATGGAAAGAGCCTAAATGTCCATCAACTGATGAATGGATAAAGAAATTGTGGTTTATATACACTATGGAATACTACGTGGCAATGAGAAAAAATGAAATATGGCCTTTTGTAGCAACGTGGATGGAACTGGAGAGTGTGATGCTAAGTGAAATAAGCCATACAGAGAAAGACAGATACCATATGGTTTCACTCTTATGTGGATCCTGAGAAACTTAACAGGAAACCATGGGGGAAGGGAAGGAAAAAAAAAAAAAGAGGTTAGAGTGGGAGAGAGTCAAAGCATAAGAAACTGTTGAGAACTGAGAGCAAACTGAGAGTTGATGGGGGGTGGGAGGGAGGAGAGGGTGGGTGATGGGTATTGAGGAGGGCACCTTTTGGGATGAGCACTGGGTGTTGTATGGAAACCAATTTGACAATAAATTTCATATATAAATTAAAAAAAAAATAAAGTACTACTCAAGCAAACATAAGTAAAAAAAAAAAATAAAAAATAAACTGAGTAGTTGCATTATAGTGAATAATCTTGTTGGTATGTTTAAAAAAAATCCATTTGCCCTGTAGACATCTTTACTTTTTAATGTCAAATTTATGTACCTTTTTTCCATAGGTACTTTGCTGCCAGAGTGATCCTTCTAACGTGGCCATCTGGTCATGTCATTCTTTTCTTCAGAATCTTATTGTGGCACCTCATCACTTAATGGATAAAATGGAAACTCCTTAGCAAACCATGTGAGGTCCTTCATGATGATCTGATCTTTGCCTCCTTTTTAGACTCATTGCCTGCCTCATTCTTCTTCAAAGTTCTATGCATCAGGAGATATGTGTGGAGAGATACACATACATATACACAACATCAAGAATATTATTCAGAGTAACTTCTGGGCTGTCGTTTTCAAACGAACTCTAAAGATAAACCAAATTTTATTCCTTATTTATTTCCTGAGTTGGGGGAGGAAGATTAGAAGGTTCTCTGTGTGAACTGTAGCTGAATTATTTTCACTATATTATGGGGGTTGGCAAACTACAGTGCATGGGCCAAATGCAGCCCAGTGTCTGTTTTTGCCTGACCTGCAAGCTAAGATTTGTTTTTTATAGTTTTAAATAGTTGAAAAGATATCAAAAGAAGAATGCTTTGTGACATGTGAAAATTATAGGAAATTCAAATTCACGCCCTGAAGAAAGTTTATTGACATATTGTCATACTCAATCATTTACATATTGGTTATAGCTGTTTTCTGAGTATAGCCACAGAGTTGGGTAGTTTCTAAAGAGACCGTATAGCCCACAAAACCTGAGTATTTACTATTTAGCCCAACTAACTGATACTAACTTTATTAACTGATAAAAGTTACGAGTCGTTAGTTTATACTATAAATGGTCATTGACTATCATGAATTGGAGATAGACCAACTATGTCTGTTGAAGGCCTTTCAGGGCATAATTGCTTCTGTCTATCTACTGAGAAAAGATTGGCTACTTTGCCTTCAGAGGGATTTATCTGACAGTCTCCTGTTGTGTCTCCATTTGACACCCATGTTATGTCTAACTCTGAAGAAATTTCTTCCGGAGTATATTAATTGACTATTCCTTTTTCTCAAAAGAGGTATCCCAAGTGAAGAGTTTTAGAGCATGGCATATAAGAAGATTTTTCTTTTTCCAAGTCTCTCATATGCATATTTTGCATTAAAAAAGATCATTGTTATATGAAAAAAACCTTGATTTTTTAAATATTAGTTTGCTGTATGGATACCTGTGTTTAAGGTTTATGAGTTCGGTTATATTATTTATATTGGAAAAATTTGGGGGGGTTATGCAGTATATTAACACATTAAATCATTTGCTTAAATATTTATTGACTACCTGCTATGTATAAGTAGTTACTTTTGCTATTGTAGTCTTTCAGTTGAAGGTGGACATTTCAAATTCTTACTTAATATAAGCTAATAGTGTAATTCAGAATTCTTTGTCCTCATATTCATTCTGCCTCTGGGAAAAATATGGTTTAAGAAAATCCAGTGTATTACAATTTGTCACTTCCCTAAAATTTCATTAGCCAGTGTTGGTAAGTTTTACTGTTTTCATTAGGTGGCAAGGTATTATGAAAAGGAAAACAGTGATTTGAACATTCCTTCTTACAAATACCAGCAAGTGTTGCAAACCTAAAATTCACAAAGAAAAGTATATAAACAATAGTAATGGACAACTTATTCCAGATACCTTTGGACTAGGTATCCTTGTTTATTTCCTTCCTCTAATACTTGCATTATCTAATACTTGCATTATCATATCTGATTATATCAGTTGACATCTCATTATAGAGGTTGACAACTTGAAGAAATATGGCAACAGGTTTTTATTGCCATGGAAACCCCTCCTATGGATCCAGCCTTATGAGTGGATTAGTTATTAAACTTGGAAATGGGATGCGGTATCTAGATGTTGTGATTCAGTCATCTTAGCCATAGAGAATCTGCCTCAGATCTTTGTCAATTCCTTCTGCCTAAATGAAGGAAGTCTCTTCTTAGCACTTTGCAATCTTGGGTTGTGGGGTCCCACAATGTCTAGCCCTAGCTGCTGAAATTTGGTAAGGCAAAAAGCTAGTCAGGCTATGGAAGCTTAATGTGTATTTGTTGTTACTCTAGAATTAGTTCTGTTCAAATCCCAAGGAATTCTGTAGGGCTCCCTCGGATTGGGAATTAGGGTGAATGAAGGTAATTCGTTTTATTAGGATATGTGGGATGAAGATTTACTACGTAATCAGAGAATACATACAGCATCAGAGAATCTTAACTCTTCCTTTTTAGGGTTTTGAAGAGGAAGAAAGACTTCCTTTGGAAGTTGTTACAAGCATTCCTTTATGATAGGATGACAGTACTATTGTTTATGTAAGAAACTTTTGAAATTCTACAATCATGAGACCCATTTTATAGTAGAACATGAATTTGTGAGGTTTTGAATCATGAAAACATTCAAATTATTGCTCTGTCACTCACTAGATGTATGAGGGGCTAAAATCTATCTTGTAGGGTTTTGATGATGACAATGAAATAATCACTGACAATCCTTAGGACCATGTCTAGTGCTTAAGGAACGGTAATTTTTATTAGACCTTGGAAGGCGTCCTGAATTTCTCTTTTTTGATGTGTGCTTGACCCAGCTCCTTTCCAGAGTGTTTTACTAGCATTGTCAGTACAGCTTTTCCTTGTCTTGTCTTGCTCTCCTTTTCAGCCTTGCAAGGCATTTAAAAGACCCATGGTTAATCCAGCTACTGATTTATTTTGTATCCTGAAATTTTCTTTTATGAAAGATTTGATGAGAGCTGAGAGAATTCTTAAATAACTGTAAACTTTAAAGATTCTTATAGAAGTGAGATGCTGTTGGGCAGACTCCTGGTGTGCATACCTTTTGGGCTGTTTCCCTTTAAGTACCACAAGCTTGACAAAAATTAGTTTTTAATCTCCTCCATAAAAGAGCAAACAGTGGCATTTCTTTGAGACAGTGAGCCCAAGTTCTTTTTTTCAATTCGATCACGTAAATGTTTTCAATTTTTATAAACATTTCTCACATTTGTTAATAACTGGAATTTTCTATGATAACTTTATCCATCACCCATGTCACATGTTGGTAGCTTTTTGTAATTTTTCTTTTTTAAAAAGTTGCAGGTGGCAATCAGTTAAGTGGTTGCTACTTTTTTGTGTGATTTGCTTAATAAAAATGGCCTTGTTTATTTACAATGTAAAATAATACATTAGGAAAAGTTTGCCTCTCTTTAGTATAGCTATAACAAGTTAACTATTCCAAATCCCATTTTTTCCTGAGTTTTAATTACTTCTGTGACATTTTGCCCATTTATGCTAATCAGTGTATCATGCATATAAATTATTCATTGAATATTTTTTTTACTCACTTTTTCTTAGTTTTATCCTTATTTGTCAAAATATCCATGAACTGATAAGTTTGTGCTAGTTATAAGTTTGTGCTGGTTATAAAATAAAAACTAGTTCATCCTGAAGTCATCTTGCTTAATGTACTTGAGAAAGGCCATTCTTATGCAGCTTTGGTTCCAGATTGGATTATTTTGTATTTTTAAATAAATGAACTTCATAATGATTCCTCTCCTTGTTACATAATTTAATTCTAATTTTGTCTTTGGATGTATTAAAGGTAGACATTTATTAGTTGTCAACAAATGTTAATTGTCATTACTTTTAATCTCCTCACCCTCCCAACCCATTCTAGCTTTATAAAAAAATTATAAAGGTAATTCTCTGCTTGCAACCCTGAAAATAAACAAACTAGGGTGAATAAAGGAAAAGTTAGTGTTTTCCCTTCCCCTCAGGTCTCTCCCTTCTCTAGTTTTCCTCCTTGGTGTAGCCAACATTAATGAACACTGAGTATTTTTCAGCATCTTTTTCTCACTCAAAAACACATAAGTATGTACACATACCTATACAGGCTTTTTGTAACTTGCTTTATTCATTTACAAACATATCATGGTATCTCTCCAGTGTATAAATGGAACTCTAATTGTAAAAAGCTCAATAACATTCTATAGGGTACCACACCATAATTTATTCTGTTGTTACGTAACTAATGGATATTAAGATTCTTTCTTTCTTTCTCTCTCTCTTTCTTTCTTTCTCTCTCTCTCTCTCTCTCTCTCTCTTTCTTTCCTGTTACAAACATTAGTTCATTCTTACCCATGACCAGAGAAGCAAACATTCTATATAAAATGTTGACAAAATAAAACTAGTAGTATATTTAAAAAATTTTTTTTCAACGTTTATTTATTTTTGGGACAGAGAGAGACAGAGCATGAACGGGGGAGGGGCAGAGAGAGAGGGAGACACAGAATCAGAAACAGGCTCCAGGCTCCAAGCCATCAGCCCAGAGCCCGACGCGGGGCTCGAACTCACGGACCGCGAGATCGTGACCTGGCTGAAGTCGGACGCTTAACCGACTGCGCCACCCAGGCGCCCCTAGTAGTATATTTAAAAGATAATACATCAGGGGCACCTGGGTGGCTCAGTCAGTTAAGCGGTTAAGTGTCCGACTTTGGCTCAGGCCATGGTCTCCTGGTTTGTGAGTTCGAGCCCCACCTCGGAGCCTGGAGCCTGCTTTGCCTGCTTTGTATTCTTTGTCTCCTTCTCTCTCTGCCCCTCCCCCACTTGTGCTCTGTCTCTATCAAAAATAAATGTAAAAAAAAAAGTTTAAAAGATAATACATCAGTGTTTATTCCAAGAAGGCAGGGACAGTTAAATAGTAACATAATTTAACATATTAACAGATTACAAGATAAAAACTATATGAGTATCTCTCTCTTTTTGGATGAGTTGGAGGACTTTGTATTGTATTTAGACAAAATAGCATAGGGAAATGCCTGCCCATGCAGATAGTAGTCCAAGTTTTGTACAGTTCTTTGACCCTCAAGGTGATAAGCAGAAGCCTTTTTTTCCAGAGTCTTTGTGGAGACTTTGTGGGGCCTTTCTGCTTTGACCTTGGCCTAACTACAGGACTTTGGTTGCTAAAGCCTGGTACCTTTGACATATGGAAATAAGTATACTTCCTGAGACTGGGATGGATGATAAGGGTGAGCCTATCCAACTTAGGGCTGGCACTTTTTGTGATCTTGTGTTTGATTACTTTGGGCTTAATGAGCACCTTGTTGACCTCTGTACTGGTGGTCATTGTTTGGAAACATTGGTCTGAATCATTTTGAGGCCTTTCTCATGCTTGTTGGCAAAATATGCATTCCTTAGGATCTAAGTTTCTTGAAGCTTTCTAGGACTGGTTGGTTGTATATAATATTCTTGGATTTGGCCATTTCTATACTGCCAGCCACAACTCTGGGAGTGGTAGAGACTGGAAAAAAAGAGACCCATGGCTGTCATAATAGATGCCAGAAAAGCATTTGGAGTAATTTCCTCAGTGGATGTGGCATAATTTCTGAGTTCTTGCTTGAGTGAAAATGCCCATCTTTTATCTTGATCAGTGAATGATATCTTGGCTAGATAGTGTTCTTGGATCATCATTGTTTTTTTTTTTTTCCTGCTTTATAACATGTATACCTTATACCACCATTTTCAAGCTTGTGCAACTGATAAGTTTGATGCCTTTCTCCTTTCTTTATAAGTAACTCGTTCTTTATCTCCCACACAGTCTTGCCACGCTTATGTGGTCTGAGATTATCAGATCTAATCTCATTATGCACTTGATCCCTTTTATATCATGGGAAAGCCAGTACTGCCCATTCATCTTGCATTTCCTGGACTCCTGCCTATATTACTGTATTTTCCCCTTTCTGATCCCAGTTTTCTCCTTTTTTTTCCTTCTTATTCTTTAATGTTTAGTAGTAGTATAGTAAAATCATTTTAGTGATTCTGAGTTGTTATTCTCAGGTACAAATTGTTCTTTCAAAATGTAGTTTCAAATATTTATTTCAGGACAGTTTTTTGACATACTGTTTTTACTATTCTGTTTTTTGTTTTGATTTCCTTCTTCAGGGGTTCCTATCACTGTATGTTCCATCTTCTTTGCCTGTTTTCAGTATTTGCCAGTTTTTCTCAAATCTTTTTGATCTCTTTGAGTCTTAAATTTTTCTTTTTTTTAACCTATTTTTCTTAAGGGATTATCTGTTTTTATTCATTCTTGTCTTCTGGAATGATTCTTTCCTTTTGTTTGTAATTATTTTGTGTCATGTCATCTCATTTTGAGTTTTTATAATTCTTAGATCTATTCTTTCATGTCTTTTGTCATTTTCTTAAGGTCTTTTAGTTCATTTTGAAATGGCATGTTACAGAGTTGATCTTTTATGTGGGCACGTCTTTCTGGTATGCTTTTATTGTCTGTAGGGATGTTGTTATTATTTTAATGTTTATTTATTTATTTTAGAGAGGGAGAACAGGGGAGGGGCAGAGAGAGAGAGAGAGAGAAAGAGAGAGAAGAAAGAGAGAATCCCAAGCAGGCTCTGTGCTGTCAACACAGAGTGTGATGCTCGAACTCATGAACCATGAGGTCATGACCTGAGCTAAAATCAAGAGTCTGATCGACTGAGCCGTCCAAGTGCCCCTGTAGGGATGTTATTCTGCTCCTTATTTTTTCTTCTTGTAACTTAGTATATGGAATTGACCTTGATACTTTCTGTGATTCATTTTTATTTGAAATTAATTTCAAAAAGTCTTTTAGAAAATGTCTGGGTTCAGGAAATCTTCTAATTTCATAGAGCTTTTTCTGTGATTGTTTTTGTGTAGTGTTAAAAAATATGGTGGCTTGTATTCTGAGATTTCCTGGCCTTACTCTCCTCTAGTAGTTTTGTTTGGACCTTCTTTTCCCTTCATCTCTCTTGTTTGATCCCAATTTTCACCCTTTTGTGATCATTAAACCCTTTCTCTCTGCCTTCTGGAGTTCATCTGCAAAACTCCCTTTGTCTTTAACCTCTTCCCTAAACATGAATACCTTCTTGCTATAAGTAAAACTTCTCCCCTGAGGGCCATACTTCCCCATAGAGTTCTAAAGTGGTGGCTCCTCCTATTGATGTGGGTTAAGTGTTCTCTTTGCTTTCTCATAGTTGCTTCTAGACTTCTTTGGGGGCTCACTGGTACTCTTCTACTACTCCAGTTATGATTATTGGTATCTTCAGTATCCATACAGATGACCCTTCTGGTATTCTGTCTTCTTCACTTCCTCTCCTCTGCTGATCTTGTCCTTTGCCTCAGCCGTTGACTTCTGTGGCATATTCTGTGCAGATGTTTTTAAAACCCTCAGTGCATCTGCATTAACTGGGAAGCTTTGAGAAACTACAGGTGCCTAGGACTCACTGCCAGAAATTCTGATTTGGTTAATCTGGGGTGTGGCTTCATATGTTATATTTAACAGTTTTTCAAGGTGACTTTAATGTGCAGCCAAGATTGAGAGTCACTGTTCTAGAACTCCTTATTACCAATAGCTACAATTTTCTATAATATAATTTCTGGCATTTTACTCTCCAACTATCACCTCCAGTGTTTCTGGCTCACTTCTAAGTACCCAACAATCTTGATTCTTTGACCCCACTGGGACCTTTAATTTACCACCTTTTCACTGTTCCTCAGGGCATACATGTCCTCAGTTCCTTTTCTAACTTGCTGAATTCT